GGGATTTATTCAGAGAGCAGGTGAGGATGATGATCGGCGACTAGAGAGGGATTTGATGATGGCAATGATGTGAGGATGAGGGAGATGACAATCAGATTTATCGAGAGAAAAGGGATCGGCGTATTTTCTCTGCTTTGTTGCGGGATCGAGTGAAAGGAGAAGGCTGCGGGTTCTCTTGAGAAAATAGAACGAACGAGCCAAATCTTATTAGATAGGGTTATTGGTGTTGATCCACAAGAAACTCTCACACAGCTTAATGGGCGGACCGGGTCGAGTTGTCGGGCTCGCGGGTCGGCCGGTTCGCCTAACGGTTCGGTTTCGGTTTTCTCGGGCTCGATTAAACGTAAAATTAATTCGGTTCGACGATAAAAATAAAACGAAAAATTATTTATATTCATAATACACACTATTATAAAATAATAATATTATTAATAATATAAATACACACATAATATTAAATAATAATAACATTTAGACATTTAAGCATTTAATTACAATTTGACAAAATAAATATCACTTAGACAATTAGACATTTAATCGCCATTTGACAGATAAATCATTTTAGCCTTTTAATAAAATTTAGTATTCAATAATAATAACAACAAATAAATATAAATAATAATAATAATAATAATAATAATAATAATAATAATAAATAATAATAATAATAAATAATTCCCAATATTCTATAATCAAACGGGGCATTACACTTAGTCAATGCGAATATCTTAGAACGCGGGTCCTAACGTAACTCTCGAATGAAAGCTCAACTACGATGAAGGAGAACGGTACATATTCAATTGTGATCGAGGCAAATGTAACTACAGACGGACGAGCTTGGAAGCCAACACCTAGCAGATCGATACAAAGGACTCAGACGCATCTCTCAAAACGACTCGGCAAGACAAAAATCCTGCGAACATTCAAATCCAGGTCGTGAAGTAACGCATCGCTATGAAGGGAGTCAAGAAGTTTCATTTCCATAAAACGAAGTCAACGACAAAATCAAGAAGTATGTTTCCCACCTTAAAGGATTACGCAGAATCTTTTAAGGAGGATAGTCGAGTCCGGAAGAAGCACGTCGTGAAGTGCCGAATCGTCTTTGTGTGAAAATTTTCGAAGCGTAGTCTTCATAAAATCTCGTTCCTTTTACTCTTTTTGGAGTTTGGGTAGAAATCTTTTGTTATCTTGGGACTTTTCGCAATCCCTTGCGAACATTTGTTCTGGTTTTTGGGTTGAAGTGTTGCACATTAAGTGGCTTGTAGTGCTCGTACCTCGGACCCCTGAAGCACTCCTCAACCTTGGACTCCTTAGAAGCAACTCAGCGATCACTTTGCCGAGGCTTCTCGTCGACCTGCTTAGCCTTTGTTTTATCATTCTGGATGAAATCCGCTTCGGCCTCCTCCATATTCACATACTTACTACACCTCTCGAGGAGCTCGTCAAAGGACCTCGCAGGCCTCTTCGCCAGTGAATTTACCAGGCCTCAACCCCCGCTTGAGACCCCCAGCTTTTATTTCCTCTGTAGCAGAAGGTACCTCCACACACTCCTTAGTGTACCTTGAAACGTACTGTCGCAGACTCTCCCCCTCTCTCTGTTGCATGTTGATTAGTGAGAGATACGTCTTCTCATGCCTCTTAGCGCTCGCGAACTGGTTTAAGAACAGAGAACTGAACCTTTCAAAGCTATCAATAGAACCGGGTGGCAACTGGTGGAACCAGTCTTGTGCTGAGCCCTTCAAAGTAGTTAAGAAAGCCCGACAGCTAACCGCATCGCTGTATCGGTGCAGGACCGCTATGTTATCGAACGACCTCAGGTGCCTAGCAGGATCTGCCGACCCATCATATGATAGGCTCAGCTCTCTAAAGTTATTTGGCAAGTCTCCACCTCGCACCTCTTCCGTAAAAGGATGACCATGCGACCTGCCCACCCTTTTCCCTGGGAGTCGGGCCTGCGTCTCACGCATTTGTTCGCTAGTGTCTCTAAAGTCAACCCTTCTTGCTGTGTCGCCAAGGGCCTAGATGTCGTCGACCTATCACCATCCTCATCCCCCTTTCGCGCGGGTGCGTCTGGTGAGGGTGCAAGGATAACTGCTAATGCACGAGCTGCCTTAGGGATTCATTAGCTCGTCGATCAACCTCTTGAGCCCGCCCTATTGCATCCGCTATGATCCTGTCCAGTTCCGTGCTTGTCATATGTATCGTTTATTATCCTCTTGCCGTCGAGGAGTTGCCTGGGGGGTTGGTTCCTCCTGCTAAAACCATTTGTTGATCGTTGGGTTGGTGGGTCTCTCCTGCTAAGACCATTTGTTGATTGTTCAGCGGGGCCACCTGACCCGTGTTCCCATCAGGGACCTGGCCGACCTGACCAATTCCTCCACTCGTTGCACTGCCGAGCTCCTTCTCTTTGTTGGTCAGGCCACCTGAGTTTCCTGGGTTCGCCAAACGCCCTTGAGCTCCTGGTGGTGGTGTCGGGGTCACACCTGGGGCCAGCAACGTCTCCTTGGGGGTAGCAGGCGACGACGACGGTGACCACCCGGGCAAGCGGACCTGTTCCAAGAGCCCTCTTCGTCCACACCTCATCCATATCCTTCGTCAAGTTCTTCTTCGAGTTATCTCCTGCCATGATCCCTGTCGCACTTCTTCTTCTTTGGTGAGAAGAAACAGCCTCCGATACTCTGGTAGAAGACTGAGTTTTCCACAGATGGCGCCAATTTGTTAAACCACAAATACCTGAACCGTTGAACCCCTCCTCTCCGAACCGAGTTGCGTCTCCCTGATCGTCGGTACCTGCAAAACACGACGGGGGTGGTCCCGGCGTGGACACTCTGACGCTCAAGTCAGTGGTGGTGTTTCGGAGAGAAAACAGCAGAGTAACGAGATAATATGTGTATGTGTCGTGTAAAATGAATGAACATGTGCCCTTTTATAGGTGAGGTAATGTACAAGCCAAAGAGTTCTTGTCGGTCCAGGAGTCTTTCTCGTGTTTATCTCTATATTAGGTCAAAGATGTCTAGAACTCTTGAGTTCTTGTCACTACAAACTTCTTGTGACTTGGCCACGAAGCCACCGCCGGGCTCTGGTTACCTCGGTCGAACCCTCTGGCCGAGCTGCCGAGGTGCCGAGGCGCCTAGCTGCCTAGTTGCCGAGGTGCCTAGCTGCCCAGGTGCTCGGGCACCTAGCCGCCTAGTCGCTTAGCTGCTGAGATGCCCCATTGCCTAGTTGATCGCCTCCACCTAGCTCACGTTGAGCTGGTCTCCGCCTAGCGCCCACTAAATATAATTGTATCTAAACTCAGACCATGAACGGTCATCCCGGAACCGCTTCTCATGACTATATCACCCTCTTTGTTCATTTTAATTTAATTTCAAAAAGAGGGTAAAAGAAAGGTTTCATGCAGTACATAAAAAGCCCTCTCTGCACTTCCCTCTCTATATTGTCTTGCCATTCACTCCAGCTCGAAACCTTTACCAGAGGCTAAACTTTGACTCCCCGATATCAAACTTAAGTAAGAGATTTTCTTTCTATCTTTATTTTTTCTCCCATCCATGTAGAGCTTTCAGGGCATTTTTATTCTCTCTCTCTCCCACTGTTGGATTAAAGATCCGATATTTTTATTACTTTTTTGTGAAATGCATGTGTATTCTGAAGATGGAAGGTATATGTATTTTTTTTCCATGCAATATACCACTATTTATTAGTCCAAATTTGCTTTCTTACTATTCTTAAAAAAAGAGTTTTGTGAAATAATTAATGACGTTTAGGCCAATTATATCAGGTTTCCTCTTTCTTTAATTTTGTTTTCTTTATTGTAAAATAATATTCTTTAAATTAGGTAACAATTTCACATGGAGGGACAGCTTTGGAGGTTTTCCCCATCCAGAAACCATGGTCAATCCGGTAAGTAGACTTATTTTGCTGTTTTTGCCTTTTTCCCTTTAATTATACAAGCCTGACATTAATTAACTCATTATGATGTTAATTATGACTGTGAATTATACTCTCACCTGGCCTATATAGAAACTAAAGTTCGTATGAGCAGAGACACAAAGAAACTCTGTTGGGCGTCTATCACTATTACAAGTCAGGGACGCCAAACAGAGTCCCTGACTTGTTATATTGATATACGCCCAACAGAGTTTCTTTGTGTCTGTGGTCTACTCATACGAACTTTAAATCCCATATAGGTCATATAACTCACAGTCATTTGTTCATAATTACCACTATAATTAGTTAATTAATGTCAGACATGTATAATTAAAGGGGAAAATGCAAAAATAGAAAAATAAATCTACTTACCGGATTGCCCTCTAGGGAGGGGGAAAATTCCAACTTTGTCCCTCCATGTGAAATTGTTACCTAATTTAAAGAATATTATTTTACAATAAATAAAACAAATTAAAGAAAGCACATATTGAGGAAACCTAATTTAATTGGCCTCAACATCATTAATTATTTACAAAACTCGTTTTTCAAGAATAGTAAAGAAACAAATTTCTATGACTAATAGATAGTAGTAGTGCATGGGAAAAAGATACATATAGATTCCATCTTCATAATACCTGCATTTCACAAAAAAATAAAAATAACAAAAAAATCGGACCTTTAATCCAACAGTGAGAGAGGAGAAAATAAAAATGCCATGAAAGCATGAACAAAAAAAAAAAAAAAAAAAATCNAAAAAAAAAAAAAAAATCTCTTACTTAAGTTTGATACCGGAGAGCCAAAGTTTAGCCTCTGGTAGAGGCTTAGAGCTGGAGTGAAAGGCAAGACAGTGTAGAGAGGGCAGTGCAGAGAGGGTTTTTTATGTACTGTATGAAACGCTTCGCGATATCCGCAGCCTCACGGATGTTTCTGGACTCTTCTTCCAAAGTGAGAAGCTCGTCAAATCAATCCAATGACTTCAAGAACGTGCATTTGGATTCCATTGTGTTGAAGGACTGGACGAACTTCATTAATGAAATGTTATCCTTTTTCTTGCGACACTCCACAACAATATTTTATAGAAACTCCTGAGAGATTTTGTCAATCTCTTTGGATTTCGACTGAAGCTTGCTGTTCAGGGACACTTGTCGCTTCCACTGCTCAATATAGTGCAAGCCGAGGTCGAAATAGTTCCCTTTAGTGCAAGCTGTCAAGCACTTGTCGAAAAAGTTACCCTTCGCGCAAACTTCTGCTGCAGGTCTAAAACTTCCGGCAAGAGAGAAACATTCGCCAGCCTTTCTGAGCTCAGGTATACCACACTTTTTGAAATATATGTTCCCCAAAATAGAGTAAATCAAAATCAATCAAAATCCGTGCATTCAGTTCACCAAATGGAAATTCCAGGGGAGGGTGTAGTGTATGCAATCCAAATCGAACTTAGAAAGATTACACACCTGCTCTTTCGTAATCCCCCAATTCACAAAAACATTCAGCTGCTGGATCAGTTCTCCCAGTGGAATCAAATATTTCAGCTGCCTCACTAAGCATCACATTAGCCTCTTCCGGATTCAAACCGCGAAGAGTGTCGCCAGAAGCTCTTAGCCCGGAAACTTTAGCTCTCTTTTCCCATGTCTCATCACCTGCTTTCAAAAAGCACAAAGTCGCCATCTCGTAATTTTTCTCCCAAAAAAGCTGCATAACACAACCATATTTTTTGTTTTTTTAAAAAAAAGCAAAAGAAAATAAATTGCGAAAACAATAAAGAAATTTTACAAAACCTTGATCCCCTGTGATTTTCCCTCCTCGGGGCTGCTTGTCCTCTGCATTGCCTCTGCTAGTGAATCGTCGATTTTTCATTGCCTGTGATTTTTCTTCTCCAGTAGTCGAGCATAGGTGTCGAAAGCTCTTCGTTGTTCTCACAGATCCATAATCTTTGCCTCGTACGAGTGATCGCCACGTATAGTTGCTTGAGTTCAGAGCACAAGAGATTGTGTTTAGAGTGATTGAAACTCAGGAAGGAGTTTGGAGAGTTTGCATAGAGAAGGTCTTTTTCTTTCAAAAACTCGTACAAGACTCGCCATTGATTGCTGAAAGGTGAAGAGCCGAAGAAATTGTATAACAGGACATCCTACATTATGCAATGATATCAGCACAAAATGAACTTAAAGACTGAAATAACAGAAAAATATTAACTATCATCACTCAAATGCATAGATAATAAATAAACAGCTATTTGACCTGAAAATCAAGGCCTTTGCACTCAACTATAGTCAAAACCAGAGTTTGATGACCAATATAGTTAAAGATTTCATTTCTGGCAGAATCTTCTCTCACTAGAATAACTAGGTCAGCACCAAAACCGACCCATTTTCGACCAGCATTTACACTATGTCCGAAAATAGTCATAATTAAGTTTTCATCACTGCCAGGCTCGAGTACTACAGGAGACAAGCCATATATAAGGCTCGTCTCTGGAGGTAAAATATCAATCGACAGCGGGAAAAAATGGCAAATAATATCTATGACACTGTGAGGTAACCTAAGTACTCCTGTACGAGTACGAAAATTCTGGGACAAACAAAACATATCCGATATATGCCCCTTTTCTCTTCTTCCTCGAAAATCACCATTTCTAGATTTCATGAAAAACTCGGTATAGAACAAGGATCGAATATCTTCCAAGCGAAAATCGATCCCCCTGGCAATAGTTTGTGCAGTATCGCCCGAAAAAACAAAGCCTTCGTCAACATTTTTGCAGATATATCAGAATAGTGAAATTTGGCGCATGGTAAGGTCTTGAACTTCATCAATGTACACAAAGTCCATCTGTTCCCCCGGAAGATTCTCATTCTTGAGTCAGACGTAAATGTCTTTCACAAAATCGGCAAGATCAAACTCGCCACGTTCCATCATCTTCTCATAATCCTCAAAAAAATCATACACGAACTCCCTCTTTTCAGCAGTCAAAAGTCAAGATCCTACTTTTGGATAACAATAAGTACTCTTTTCTGCTTATTCTTCCATTGCATGCTTCGCCTTCTTGCAGTCCGCCTTTAATGTGAGACATAATTTCGATGAAAACTCGTGATGGATCGAGATTCTTTTGTTAGCTTTTCATTGAGATGGGGCCAGTATAAGGCCCGAAAATGGTCATAAGTAACCTCGTTTTTTCGAATGAAAGTCTGAAGAGCAATCGATCTTCCACTGTCATATTGAGAGAAACCTCTCACTTCACCAAACCTCACGAAATACGAATTACCCAAAGTACCATCAAGCATCATTAGAAACTTACGGAATGTGATGATTAGAGGGTACTTTTCTGGTTGAATACCAACAAATGTGTTTGGAATATCTTTAAACTCGGCCAATTCATCAATTTCATCCATAGCAGTCATGCTCCCAACAAGGTTTCCACTAGCAAAGTTGTATAGAATACAAAATTAGACTTAGACATAAGGCAAACCATCTGTTTATAAAATACTAAAAGCACATGAAAAAAAAAAAAAAAAAAANAAAAAAAAAAAAAAAAAAATCATGCAAGTGGGCTATGAACATGAATTCTAAACATACCTCTTCAGCTGAGTAATATGCTTTTTGACAGCAAAACAGAGTTTTGGGCTCACGGTCACTAAAAGCTGGTGCAGTGTGGGAGATTCTACAGATTCAGAATCAGAATCAGAATCTCTATTGCCAACAGATTCATGTGAAGTTATGAAATATTGTTGAAAAGCTTTTGGTACAGCTTCATAGTCAAAACAGTTGTCTACCCAGTGCCAGATCTTCCAAGTATGAAGCTGCTTTTGGAGAACATTATTATCTCACGCTCCTCGTCAGTAACCTCAAATGGGAGATCCACTTCTCGGCCCTCAGTATCAGTAAGCAAATGATTCACGATTCCCGATGATAGTGAGTAGAATTTCATCAACAGTAAGCTCTCGTTCACTTTCGAATTCTCCACAAAAGTTCTACCATCGTTTGCACTGGCACTTGCACTAGCATTGAAGTTGGCATTATTGGAGTTCTTGTAACGATTTATATCCTTAGAAACTGACCAACTCCTTGGAACCTCCAAATTTCTGAACAAAATGGAATTAACTGAAATAATTACATTACCTAAAAGTCGATATAACTAAAAATTGTAAACCCAAAATATATATACAATATTATACAAAAGACATACCCTTCGAACAATTTCTCGTTGCAGTGTTTGATAGTCATCCGTGTACATTGCGAATATAATATGCTGTCAAGACGAGTCAACAACTTTGGGGTCTCGACAATAGGCAATATGTCCCACACTTTGAAAACTTGGAAATAGATGGAGTCCTTAGTAATATCGATGGAGCAAATAACAAAGTATTTTTCAGCCTTGAATTGCTTCACGATATACGAAGAGTTCTCGCACTCCCAATCCACGAATACTTTCTTCGGCCTCCAACCACTTGCAAGCTTAAGCGAAATATTTATGGCTAGCTTCTTAACGTTGGAAAGCTTCAGGCTTTGGAATGACTTTCGAAAGTTATCACTGAATAAAACCTGAAGACATCATGCAAGATACACCAGAGATAATTATTTTATAGCAAAGCGAATTGACTACATTCCATCTTGAACTCCGGAAAAGTATACTCTCTCCGCTAAGAAGATCGTCAAGTTGCTGTAACTCTTTCTTAACATTTATAATAGTTTTTCCAATGTCATCATCTTCATGAGCATTGAAAAAACATTAGCGGCGCTTAGCATCACATAATAGTAAAAAAAAAAAATAATAAAAAAAAACAACTCAAATAGATGAAATGAAAATAACAATTTTCACTGGAAAAAAAAAAAGAAGAAAAAGAAAAATATAATATGAGAATAATCATTTGATTGCATACTGAGCTCTTGTTAAAGCAACATTGGTTCTTTGAGAACTAGACAAGAAACCGATAGACCCACCACTATGGGACCTCACAATGGATATAATTATAATGTCTTCTTCGCCACCTTGAAAGCCATCAACAGACTTCACCTTTACTGTAAACCCCTTAAGGTTTTCGTACTTCTGATGAAGCCTATCACGAATTGCCGCAACTTATGCAGCGTAGGGTGAAATTAAACCGATGCTAAGACTCTCATTTGAGCCATCCCATGCTGTTTGTGGCATACAAAAATGGGCAAAATTGTAAGAAGTCTGCAAACAGAACAATGTCATCTAACAAGAGAGTAGATCAGGTGAGCTAATTTTCTAGATATGCTAACATTTAAACAAAACCTATGGAGGGGAAACAGTAAGGGTAAACGATACTACTTAACAATATAATTATCGAGCAAGAATTCTAAATTCATGCTGTAAATTGAATGAACCAAGAGAAATTCAAAATGATCTACCAATAAATGCAAATAAATTCTTACAATTTTTTTATTTTTTTTTCATATCCTTGGACAAAACAAGAGTTCTCTTTTACATTATCCTCACGGAGTTCGAATCATCTCCATAACTAGGTAATCATATTTTTAGTTAATGAATCATAATTGATACATTCTACCAGCCAAGAATTCTAAACTAAATCCAAATCTTGGGATTGAAAATAGAAAAGAACCCACCTGATGATAATGGTTGTGTTTGGAAAACGAAAAATAAAAAATAAAAAATTATATATTGAAAAAGTAATGCATGCTTAGTATACCTTTATAAAGCTTTTGCACTAGTTTCACAATTACAGAAACCTCAACCATATTTCTTCGGCTGTGCCCAACATCATCTAATTCTTCTTTTCCTCCACGAACATTTATGAAAGAATATGGTCCAAACATTCTCCCTTGCAGAAATCGTCTTTCATAGCTTCGACTCTTCACATAAGGTGCATCTAATATCTGGTTAAGATAAATATTCAAGTTAGGAAAACGGCTTATAGATGGATGCATCCTGTATTGCACATTAAGCACATTAAGTAGATGCTTATAGGGAAGCAAATCCCCGCATATTTCCTGCAAGTACGCATTTATACTATTATGTACCAGGCAATTGCAATTTCTTGTACATCCATACATTTGCAGAAACATAACAGTCTATATATATAGCTACCAACTACAATGTCGCGGGAACAAGTATGTATTCCTCTGCAACCTATGATTCCAAGTTGATATAATAAGTCGGAATGCTTTCCATAGAAATGCATAAATAGAACACCAAAAGAGAAATGATATTGTGTTCCCCATCATTATCCAAAGATTAAAAAAAAATGAAACAAGACTAAACATGTTTATGAAACAAAAAATTAGAATTGATGCCATTCAATGAAAGTTGCTCGCAAGCTGGCAATTATGCCTGTTTGCACCTTTTCCATGAAGTTAGTCGTTGGTTTTTTCTTACCTGGAGGAAAATTTATAAATTAATCAATGAAAATTGCATAACTATTTATAGTTAACAAATAAAAGGACCTAGACAACATGTCTTGTTATAAAAAAACGAGGCTACACTTCATCAGTACACAAACAAACTATTCAAACCTCGGGATCTCTAAGTACTTGTACATATCACACAAAATGGTCACACATAACTATGGGTCGTCAAGATTCTCATCAATGTCCACATTCTTTTCATCTGATTCTATTGTTGTAAACACATTACACTTGCACATGTTCCCTGCAAAAATCAAGAAACAAATCAGCTAATTACATTCAAGCTTTTTATACAGGGTTCCCTACCTTCAACCATTTAACCTTTTCTAGGAGCAGTGATCTATTGGCAAACAAAAACCCCAATTTCAAAAGGCACACACCAAAAAGAAGCCCCTAGTTCCTGGAATCATTTAAACATCGCATACTGTTGGATATTAAAAATGAAACAACTTTGACTTACAAAATCCGGAAAAAGCATCAAGTACTATGATAAAAGCATAGGATTATCAAGGAGAAAAGTAAAGAGATCATAAAAAAGTTCAATATTTCAACACTCGTTCTTTTCAATCAATTTATTTTTGAAACTAATTGATGTTTGTTTAGCTATATACTTCATATACTTGATTCAAAGTTGAGACAGGTCAAGCCGACCAATGAATGATCACAAGATTTCTTCTCCTTTTTTTTTTTTTTTAGGATNATCATCATAAAAAGCAAGTGTACATAAACAGATAAAAATCCCATAGAGCCCATACCTATGAAGATTGTTGTGTGAAATCTCCACATACCCGCTAATGTTTTCACTACAATATGGTTATTATTTACTTTATGCATCTAACAGTAAACCTATTTAACAATTAAAATTTCAGAACATTTCATCCACCATAAGTTCAATCAAATTTTAAAACAATAAATGACCAAATATAAAGGCCAACAAAATAATTAAAACTAGAAAACAACTCGTTAGCCATGCTGGGGTTAGAGAGAAGACATGTATCATGCTAAATGTGAAGAGAGGCGACTTAAGATGTGTAAGATAGGTTGGAGGAGAGAGAGTAACCCAACCCAGCTAGGAGGTCTTGGAACAAATGATCTAATGTGAGATCTCAAATCCGCCATGACTGTATGTATCATTGCCAGCCAGAATTACTCATAGGAAAAGTTGCATCCACTAAACGTCCAATCACAATAAATTTAAAAGAACACAAGAAAACGAAAAGCAAATAAAAGTTGATAAACAAAATAGAATGTCAATGCAACAAAACAAACCACAAACAAGAAAGGGTGTTGCCGTGTTGGAGCAATCCAACAACGAGCACACCAGATACCATTCACACAAAAAACATAACACAACATTCAAACAAAAAAGATGCCAGCAAACCAATAAATATGCCCTCCCTATGAGCTCTAATAAATTTCCAGGTTAAATGCTGGAGCTAGGACCAACAGAGCTCTTGACATAAGGGAAAAACATCGCAGACCCTTTTCTATCGATAGGGATCGAGAAATTCTCCAGCCGTCTGGTATCATGATCATAAAGCAGCAAGTCACCTTTGGAGTCCTTAAGAAACAATTTATCATTGTTGTACAGGTTCAGCAGCGTACAAGGAGCATCAGCTGCAGGGATATCGAATGTGGAGACAAGGGACCAGAAGCTGCCTCGCGCATTCCAAGCCCAAAACTCAAAAAAAATAGGATAGACCTCGGACTCTAAATAAATAGCCGCAAGAGAGCCCTCAAACTCAACTAGAGCAACTTGCATCAACTTCCGCAACTTTTCCTTCTTCGGTAGAGGGATAAGAGCATGAAACTGGTCATTAGCAAAGTCGAACGACATAATGGTTAAAATGTCATTACACCCCTGAACTATCCAATAGTAGAAGCCATTAATGTGAATAGAAAGGAACCAACTGTTTCTCAACTGGAAGTCATAAGGACAGTGAACGGCCTTCCACGAACTAGTTCCCAGGGAAAACACCTCAGCGTACTTGTCTTCAAAGCGGTCCACCCAACATCTGACCAGCTTATAGTGCCCAGCTGAAGGATCAAACCCAAAGCCAGAAGCCCACACGCTATTATTAATGGTTTCGAAAGGCGAGGGAGGACAGCGGAATCTACACGTATCCGTCTCCATGTCCCACAGAAGATCCTGGGGCATGGAACCAATTTGCTGATATACCAACCAAATCCATGAGCCGCAACATCCAAAAACGTCATAGCCGTAGTTTCCAAATCCGAGTACAGACAGTAAGTTGCGAGGAAGATCCTCATCATCCTCGTGTAATAGTCTGAAAGAGTTGCCATCGGTTGAGATTACAGAGAAATCGAGGGTTTCCTTGTGTTGGTGCCTCACCAGGAACCTGACGTTGAGCTGAGCATCAGCGGATTGCATCAATTCCGATTCGGCGTAGGCAAGAGCTTTGCTACTGTCTGAGCATTTGAATTCGGATTTGGATTTGGATTTGGCAAATAGATCGCAGCGGTTTAAGAAGGATCCCACTACCAAAGAAGAACGATTCGCCATTCTGTGTCTCACCATCTGTCGACAAAAATTGAGTCAGCCCAAACCCGTGACTTCCAATTTATCGTACTTAATTCCTTCTTACACTAAAATTAGGACAATTCTTTTTCAACAGTTGCTTTTCAAAACCCGCGCAGCAAGGACTCTAGAATTGTAGGATATGAGCATCTCCAATTGTTGGAATAGATTGGCAATTAAATAGACGGTCTTCTGGTCCACATGATAGGAATAGAATATCATGTTGACATGTAACTCTCTAGTGATAAATGTCTACACACTGTGAATAATACACATGATTTTTTTTCATTCTAACAAAGACACTCGGGTATTACTCTGTTGGGGTCTTTTTTAGTTGTGTTAGTTTTTGTTAGTTGTTAGTTTAGTTGCGAGTTTGTCATTCTAATGTTGCTAGACGGTTCTAGGCGATCTTCGGATTTGCCTCCCAGTTTTAAAGTCTCTGGCTGTACTATTCAGTCTTTGGTTGCTTTCTTTTCGTGCGGTTTTATTAATATAGTACCTCTATCGTTTCGGGAAAAAAAAAAAAAAAAAAA